TGCCTTCGAGAGATCTCCCGGAAGCTCTGACGGAGAAGAGTCTGAAGGAGTTGGGCCCATCCAGGAGTCCAAGAACCAGAGGCTACCAGAGCTTCATGAGTCAGCTGAAATGGCCGAGACTGGCATAGATGTCAGCTGGGAAGATGGACCAAGTCCATTGAACCAAGAGGCTGCAACATCCGCAGCTAGTGGCGGTGGCCATGCCTTTTCTTCGGCTCCCCCTGGCAAGGCCATGCGATGGTGTCAGTAGATTGTATGGAGTTTAGGCATATTTCTACAGCACATGACAAGAATGACTGCTTAACACATCACAACATGTCATAAGAAATCCATAGAAATCCGATCCTGACATGGTAGCCTCAAATAGCACAAAGTCATAACATCACCTTCTCTTCCGGGCTTTGCAGGCAGCTAATGCTGATGGAGTTGGTTCGTTGCAGGAGTCTTCCACGTTTTCCACGACAGCGGCAGAGTTGGGCGTGCAGAGCCACTGTGCAGAGGATGAAGATGTTCCACAGCCAGAGCACGAGCCAGCTGATGAAGCAAGCGCCCTAAATGTCCTGGAGGTCAAGGAGGGTGAAAAGGATGAGGAAACGGATGAGGAAAAGAATAAGAAAAAGGATGAAAAGGACGAGGATGAAGAACTCACGGCGTCATTGGTTGCTGGCGCCTTTGTAGCATCAGATGCAGAGCAGCCAGAGGGGGAACCACCGAGTTATGTGGAGTCGCAGGCGGATGGCGAGGATCCCTTTGAAGCCCTGGGCCATGTACCGCCTGAATCGGAATCCGATCTCGGAGAAGCTTCTGCAGAAATTGCAGGTTTCGCACCAGTGCTGGGAGCATTTGATGTGGAGGCTGCCTGGCGAGCTGATTGTGCTGTGCATGGCGCGCCTGGTCAGCACAGTGACTCGGATATGCAAACTGATGACAGCCCTGCGGTCCAACCTCTGGAAGAGGCTGTGAAGAAGATAAGCAGCAAAGAACAGATGGCAGCAAAGATGGAGGAGAGGCGGAAGCTTGAAGGTCTGCTTCCACAAGAACCTCAGGAGGCTACTTGGCATGTAAATGCGTGTGACATGTGTTTGTGAGTGCTTACCGCCCACGTCGTGAACGGATATCTATCTATCTATCTATCTATCTAGCTAGCCAGCTAGCTATCTACCTACCTACCTACCTACCTATCCATCTATCTATCTGTCTATCTATCTATCTGTCTGTCTGTCTATCTATCTCTATCCATCCATCCATCCATCTGTCTATCTAGCTAGCTAGCTAGCTAGCTATCTGTCTATATATCTATCTTTCTATCTTTTTTATTTTATGCATCTATACTTATTTTTTTTTGAATGTTGGTAGGTGGCAGATCCAAGCAGGTAGCGGCATATTAGCGGCATGAGTTGAATTTGAACGGAGGGCACCAACATGCACCAACTCTAGCCGCACCAGTTGCAGCAATGGATTACTGTCACCGACTGTCACCACTGAAGCAAAATGCATATTGGAGGCGATGCTTTTTTGCCTGTGCTCATTGCAGGCAGAACCGCTTCAGCAGTTCTTTGAGAAGCCGGGGGAGGAACCGCAGCCCCCGCAGGCTTGCCAGATTTGAAAACGTAGTCTTGGATGTTGCTCATGGCATTTTCGTGTCGACCAGAGGGCCCATGGCACCACCCTTGACCCTGGTCATGATTCACACAACGACATGAGAGGAGACAGCCTTTCAAATGTTTGTTTTGTAGAGTGGTTCCACAAGAAATTTGAGTCGTGGCGGATCGTCACAAAGATGACTTCTCACCCCTGCAAATACCTTGGACGATACATCGTTGTCATTGAGCACCTAGTGGCCTAGCCTTCACATGCCTTCACTGGGGCAAGAATGTCAAACATTGTCACACTTCAGAGTTGGAGGTTGGCAAAGTGGACTGACACAAGCAGATTCAGCCAAACTTTTCACATCTCTATATATATCTCTATGAACTTTCAGGATGGCTTCTCCAAGTTGCTGCAGGACAGGGGCAGGGTCGGAATGAGCCTTGTCAGCTCGTTACGGGCCAATTTGCTTGACCCTGCACAAGTGCCAGTCGAAAATTGCACACCAGGAGTGGTTGGAAGGCGCCACTGTCATATTCTCAGTATTTCTCAATTCTGATATGTTCTGATGCAATCGGGGTCATTTTAGTGAAAGGGTTGTCACGCTGTCTCATGTTGCAAGGCCGTCCATGCTTTGGGGGTTGAACTGCAGCTTAGTGGAGGTTTTGGTCACATGTGGTCACTTTGGACATGAGTTGAGACTGGGGTGGGGCCTGGGCGGATGATGTCAGCCCCTATACTCCTTGGACCTTGGAAAGTCGTGGTGACAGCAGCATGATCCAAGGCCTTTCTGGCACTGGGTTGCTGCGGCAGGCGGCAAAGAGAGGTGCTGTAGCATTGCTACAACACCTCTCTTTGCCAATGAGCGCCGTGGGGCTTCCGGGCATCGCAGGTAGTTGAGTAGGGCGTCCAAATTCATCCTCGCCCGCATCAATGAGAAAATGTGAGAACATTGTCAAGTTCTGTATTTTGTAGTGTGAGTACATGATGTCTGGATAAAATACGTATTTCACACACAACCCAATTTCTGGGGATTGGTAAATGAAATCCACGTACCACTGCAGCCCTGCATGCTGCGGGAAACCGCTGCAGCACATTGATTTAATGATTTGCCGCAGCTTCAGTCAGCATTTGTCACACCTTTGCTGAGCTTCCTTGGGGCGCCAAGATTTCCAAAATACACACCATTTTTATCCATTGGTCCATTGGTCCATGTGTCAAAAAGACCCATGCGAAGACCTTTGGTTTATTTTGCTTTCTCTTCTGCAGTAGTATAGCTTGCATATTTGCCCAGCGCATTCAGCTCAGCAAGAAGACACAAAGCCTGCAAGCCATTGTTGCTGTGATTGCGTGCGTGTGACCACCAAAGAGGAAAACAGGCGCTCCGCGCTGAAGCCTGAATTTTCTTTCCAACCCCGCATCTTCACCGCAGTTCGATATGCTCACTTCAGCAATAGTTGTGAAGCTTGGACGACCTCCACCTGTCCGCTTGTCACAGGGATGACATTGGAAACGAATCTAAGTTTCCCGGTAGGACCATGGAAAAAAATACACTTGAGGGACAAAAAAATTGAGGTTCCCCTGATCTGGACCCCTGTCTGCTCCTTTACCCTCTTCGTCCTTTGATCTCCGGAACTAACCCTATACAAGCCCGAAAGCAACCTTGAACAGGCCACAAACCAACTCTCAATAAAACCTAAACCAACCGTCCTACATAAACATACCTAAAACGAACTGAAAGAAGCACAAAAACAAACCAAACAACTCCAATTCCCAAATGACAGTTAAAAAGCTGAGCCAAAATACAATGTCAGAAGTCATTCCAGTGTCACTTGAACCATTTGATCACGAGGCAATGCATGAGACTGTGGCATGCATCTAAAGCGGTCGGATCAAGAGCCAGTAGCCCCGTTGTGGCTGTGCGTAAGCCGTATCATTCACCATTTGCTGGTGATCTATTCTTGGTGTGTTGAGATTTGTATGGTAGCGGAGCCAGGCCGTGGGGGCTCCTGAAAAATACCACCGGGAATGACGACAGGGTACAAGGAAGACGTACCATCGTGGAGCTGAATTTGAGGCATATTTGAGGCATATGCAACGTCATGCAAGTGGTATCAGAGGGCAGATGAGGGCAGCAAAAGAGGCAGATAGACTCAGATAGAGGATTGGTGGTGGCTCGACTATGGGGTCAGAAAATTCAGAAAACACAGAAAATTCAGAAAACCAAGACAATTCAGAAAATTCAGACAACACAGAAAATTCAGAAAACCTAGAAAATTCGGAAAATTCGGAAACTTCAGAAATTTTCCAACATTAGATGGGAATGTCTCAGAAGAGGGGTGCCATAACTGAGTGCCCCAAGCCTTTCTTTTTTTACTTAAAAAAAGTGAGCTTGGGGCACTCCTAATTTGAGACATTCCCAAATAAAAATACAAAAGAAGACAATTAAGAAATCAAATTGTTTCAAGTAAAGACATCTTCCAAGGAAATCTGAAATTCAGAAAAACAAATGACATTCCTCTTGAGGAAATATCTTGAACCTAAACTATTCTTTGCAGAAATTACCCCCTTTGCAGGAACTATCCTGTTCTTGAACTATCCTTTGCAGGAACTATCCTTTTTTACAACTGTTCCTTACCAACAATCATTTGCCTCTCTCATCGTTTGGATCCTGTAAGTTTTGAGCACCTTGTGCTCGCCCCCTTGTGTGAGCCAAAAAGTCACCATATCATTGCAGTACCATCTAGGATCCCAATCGGAAAAAATACTTGAAAAATGCAGGGAACTTATTCCAAATATTTTCAGATATTTTAGAATAATATTCAACTATATTTGATTATATCTTCAATATCACGTAGTCAGTTCAAATATAAAATAAGTGGAACTTAACACAAAATAGATTTTAAAAACACTTTAGACAGGATATTAGTAGGACAATAGCAACTTGTAAGATATTTACTAAACTCGTTAAGTGCCTGAAGTGAAAAATATCTAAAATGAGTGGTCTTAGTACGCCCCTGAATCCATGACGCGCACGGGACTCACTTGCATCTAGCTCTTCTGGCAAGGGCAAATCGAGCAGCCCTTCCGTTGCAGGGAGAGGAAAAGGGAAGCCAAAGAAAGGTTTTGGTCCATGTCTCATTGGTGGTAAGCCCGGTCATTCATATGCTCAGTGTCCTGATCGTTTTTCAAAAGGAAAATCAGAAGGGAAGTCTTTTGCTAAAGGAAATTTGGTAAGAGCCACAAGGAAAAGGAAACTCATATCAAACTATGACGTCCATCTGAATGTCCTGACAGCGGAATGGGGTGAGCTGGCATCGAACGGCAGAGCGTTAGCAATCATTGACACTGGTGCCACAGAAAATGCTGTTGGTGTAGGTTCCCTTCGTTTTTCCTGCAGCGTTTGCAATGAGGACCTTCCGCCCTGTCGCTTTGGCAATGGACATCGAGACAGGCACTTAGCCGGGTGGATCCTTGTGGATGTCTCATTTAACTTTTTGGGTGGCCAAGGTGGCCCAACTCCGCCACTTGGGTGCAGGCATTGTGATTCCGTATGACAATGGACTTTTTCTCCATCGATCTACTTGTGAGGAATTTTCGTCAATGCAAATGCCAAGCTTTGACTTCATGGACATGTCACCATAGATTTCGCTGAGCATCCAATTGTTTTTGATGGAAAGAAGATGTTTCATGATTCATGACACATGGTTTCAATAATGTTTGAGTAGCGACGAGAATGGTATTTTTCGAGAGCGCAAGTGGAATTTTCCCAATTCTTTTCAGCCTGCCATCCATCACGTCCTCATGATGAAGACAGCTGAAACTGATTGCAGTGATCTTCACCACCGTACTGGCCTGAAGGTTATCTGAGCTGAACCTGAAGCTGCGCAAGAGCGGTGGTGACATCTCGGACTCCTTCGGCATGCGACGATCCGAGGGAACATGGATTCCCATGTTTCGGCAGCCAAAAACCGGCCAGCTGGGTGACATGCACCAAGTGCGGTGCGAGGCTCCAGTATGTCTCCAAGAACAGTCAGCATGGCAACCGCCGTCAGATGGGTCCGGAACCACATTTGATCAAGTTGGCCATGGTGGATCTGGAGATGAGCACTCCGGCTGCATCAGTGACTTCAGACATGGTCAATGGCAAGTTGATGGAGACCAAAGGAAGGATGTTGCAGTGGGCCATCCCAACGTCAATTGCCCTGAAATGCCCTGAGCATGGCATGACCCACGCCCAATACATGGAGCAGCTGAAGGAGAACGGACCAGCGGATCACCCCAAGATCGATCCCAGTGTGCGCCAAGTCATGGGCTATCCCCTGAACAATGTGAACAGCAACAGCCTTCCATCCCGAGCTCTGGGTCCGGAGGAGGAACGGGCAGTTCAGAGCCAGCCACCTGCCACAGTGACTCCAAGTGCAAAGTCAGCGGTTGCGAAGAAAGCCCCAAGTCCGACTCCCAAGGTGCCAGTCAAGAAGGAGAAGCCGACCACACCAGAGCTGATGGAGATCCACTCCAGCGACAGCGAGGGACCATGGAAGGTCACACCTACACCTTCGGATCAGCGTGGAAAGCTTTGAATGACTTAAAGAAAAGGATGAAAGAGGTTGCAAGTGCCGGCACTTCGAGCAAGCAGGCTTGTGATGAGCCCATGACACAAGAGCAATGTGACACTACGAAAAATTCAAAAACACACAAAAATGGCATTATGTTCAGTGGCCTTTCCCAAAGGGACACCAATCATATGAACTATGAGGTAGACTCTTTGATGACTTCACCTCACACGTGCACTATACGTGCGGAGCTATTTCTACATCAGGGCCAAGTTCCGTGTCCTTTTGGAACACGGCGTCTTCCCTCTTCCAAAACCTCGCAACGAATGCGGCAGTTCTTGCAGCTTTGGTGTTGTCTCCGGTGAAAGGATTTTTTGGACATCTTCAAGGAGTGCCAGACTTCATGGACAATTCTCCAGCCATAAAGAGGAGATCCGTGAGGAACTGGGGAGTGAAGGACCAGCTAAGGACACCAGAGGAAAGGGTAGGCAAGCTTGAGGAGGAACCACACAGAGCACCTCTCCCTACTGGCCCCTCACAGCAAATAAAAGGAAGGTTGTAGGTGGGGATGGCTTGACTCCACTAAGCGGGATGGCTTGATCCATGAAACTGCCCATCTCATCGAGGTTGCAAAGGTGGAGGACCTAGTGGAGAAGGTGGTGGTCTCAGGCAAACGTGCCAGCCCATCGCAACCGAGCCAGCATCTGGAAGGTGGTCGTTGAACCGCACACTGCACTTTGGACAGCCCCATCCAAAACAATCAAAACACCAATGGAGCGCAAAAGTGCGGGACTTGCCACTGTCACACGGCGGTTATCTCAACCCCTCTCGGGAAAAAACCGTCTCCATTCAACACAGGCCCCCCCCGCCACAGCCCTGCCGTGGTCGACTGGGCCACTTGTAACGTGGCGGCCAGGCCTTTACTTTTGGGCCGTCATTGGCCGCTGCATTCGGGGCTTCAGGGCACAAGCCGTTCTCCTCCACAAGTAGTCCTTCAAGCGAGTTCTACAACTAGACTTGCTCGGCCAACTCTTTGGTGCATTGCTGAGAATAAGCCACTTGCCACAAGGGGGGCCGGCCACTTCATGCCTACCAGGAGGAGCTCTCCAATCTCCAAAACAGTTGTCGCAAATCCCGTGGCCTGCCTTCACTCATGGGCTATGATGCGAACTGCCGCTTAGTTAGCGCTCGACATGTCTGCCCTGGCGAGCCTGCATGAAACAAGAACAGCTTTTTCTCCCACAGAAGCCTTTGCACACAGAAGCCTTTGCACAGAGCAGCTCATACACACAGAAGCGTTTAGACAGAGAAGTCTTTATACACAGAAGCTTTGACACAGTGCAGCGTTTACACAGAGGCCTTTTACACATAGACGCTTTGACACAGAGCAGCTTTTACACACAGAAGCCTTTACACACAGAAGCTTTTACACAGAGCAGCTTTACACACAGAAGCTTCTACACAAAGCAGCTTTTACGCAAAGGAGCTTTTCCACAGGGAAGCCTTTACACAGAGCAGCCTTTACACAGACACGTTGTTACACAGGAAAGCCTTTACACAGAGCGAAGCTTTTACACAAGACAGCCTTACACAAAGGCCTTTCAGACACAGACCCTTTTACACAGAGACGCCTTTACACAAAGCAGCTTTTAGACAGAAACTTTTACATAAGAAACCTTTACACTGATCAGTGATCAGCTTTTACACACAGAAGTATTTTCACAGAGAGGCCTTTACATACAAAAAACTTTTACACAGACCTTGAGTGCCGCCTTCTGCGCAAAGCAGCCGCCCAGCGCCGCGGCCAAACTTGGGCGACCTCATTTGATGGGAAGCACGCCACCTGTCTGCTTGTCACAGGCCAATTTTGGTCATTTACAAGTATTTACAAATATTTGCAGATATAGACTGCTCTGATCAGATAAGATAAGAGAATATGATATGACATGATATGATACGACATGAAATGAAATGATTTCTCAAGTTTGCGTTGCAGTCACGAGCATGATCAGACACGCGTAGCTTTGTGGGAATGCAGATGAGAACACATCACTGCGTAGCTTTTCAAGCTCAAATGTACAAACCAAAAGCAGCTCAACACTATCACCTGCGTGCGCGCATGAAGAACATTTTGTCAACGGTCAGCGGTGCAATTTTCCCGGAATGATGTCGTGCAAGAAGGCTTTTAAGTCCAGTTCATAGAAGAATTCCCGCCAAGCCCCAGCTTTTGCTACTAACACCAATCCCACTCAGCACTTTCGTCTTCGCTTCTTCAAGCCCCGCTTGAGCACGCAGAGGGGCAGAAGAGCCTCGACTGCAAGCAGCGAGGCTGTGGAAAGGATTGACATGCTTCCAGGATGCGTGCTGCCTAGATGTTCAAGCATGCCAACAGACCTAGGGGCCCTCTGCGTGGGCTCGTCATGGATTGAAATTCAAGTCATGCTCTAGATGTGCTGGCATTGATTGCTCCGGCCGTGACTCCATGAAGTTACTAATTATAGCTACTCCCCAGTGTGGAGGTCGTCCTAAGTGGCAGGTGGAGGAGGTAGCGTAGTTCTGGAAATTGATACGATTCTGTGTCTAGTTTGTGTTTTGTATGTTCTGGTTTTTTGGTGTTGTGGCATTTTGCAGCTGATACGTACAGATCGGGCTTTTTACGAAAGCGAGCCGGACAAGCTGGCCAGTTGTTTTTTGCGAACATAGTGAGAGAATGTGAGAGGTTAGGGGTCTGGGGGGAGGTGTTGCCAAACAGGCTAGTTTTTCCAGCCTCAGTTGGTGTTCAGGGTGGTCGTGGGGAGTGTTTTACTGGGTAGTGTACCAGGTCGCAAATGGGTGACAGTGGGTATCGATTCTAAGATGGTCCGTGACATTGGTGTTAATTGGTGTTAAAAATTAGACCAATACTAGGGCTAAATAAGTAGACAAAAAGATCAATAGATAGGCAGGTAATAGATGGATGGAGACTAGACCGAGAGAGGAAATTTATCGATAGCTGGATGACAGCTAGATAGAGAGGTAAAGAGAGATAGCCAGATAGCTAGATAGCTAGCCAGATAGATAGATAGACGGATAGATGGATAGATGGATAGGTGGATAGATGGATAGATAGATAGATCGCAAAAGATATCGCATGTGACATTGACACTATTCCACGGCAGAGCTGCTGAAGGCCAGAAAGAAAGGGCCTGCTGATAGATAGATAGATCGATAGATAGATCGATAGATCGATAGATCGATAGATAGATGGATAGGTAGATAGATAGATAGATTGACAGATAGATAGATAGATAGATAGATAGATAGATAGATAGATAGATAGACAATGAGATAATGAGATAATGAGATAACGGGATAATGAGATAATGAGATAATGAGATAATGGGATAATGAGATAGATAATTAAATTAGATTAGATTAGGTTAGATTAGATAGGTAGATAGATACATAGATAGATAGATAGATAGATGGATAGATAGATAGATAGTTGGTAGTTATGCTTGCGGATTTTGAATGAGAGAAAGGACCGCAGAGACGGGCGGCTACTATCCAGGCTGCGCCTTTAGAGACAGCAAATGCGAAGTGGTGTGGCTAGATGTGAGATGGAGACATGGATAAATGGATAAAGGCGTCCGCATATGGTGAGAACAGCGAACATGGCAGTTGTAATGCTAAGGAGAAGCGGCGGAATCAAAGCTGGCCTTGAAAAACGCATGCTTAATAGATTTCATATTTTGCCAAGAAAAAGATTACAGATGCAATGATAAGCAGATGCTGCAGTCTAACAGAACCGTAAGGAGCAGGACCTTTCCTTTTCTTTTGGCCTTTGACAGCTCTGCTTTGGAATAGTGTCATTGTCACATGCGATATCTTTTGCATACAGTGGGCTGTTACGTCATCTGTTTCTGACGATACACGTTGATACACCTTCATCTGGGATCGTGGAAAAATAAATGGGCCGCGGCAGATACTTTTGCGAAGTACAGAACGCTATCATCGTGCGGCGTGCCATTGGATATGGAAGCAGATACCAAGAACCAAATCTAGAGCCTGCATGTTTTGATCACGGTCATGTTAAGCCGTGTTACGCCTTTGTGGGACCTATGTTAGGCTTACGTTGGTCCATGTTGGGGTCCTTAGACGCCATGTTGGGGCCATATTTGTGCCATGTTGAGCTTATGTTAAGCCAGGAACGGGCCCAAAAGGAACACGTCGTTTTTGGATCATGTCGGGCCATGTTGGGCCTATATGGAGCCTATGTTGGGCCTATGTTGATCCATGTTAGGCGCTTGGAGGCTATGTTGTGGCCATATTTGAGCCATGTTGATTGAGCTTATGTTAAGCCAAGAACGGCGTGTTCCTTTTTAGCTTTTAGCCGGCACGAAAGGAACACGCCGTGCTTGGATCATGTCGGGACCATGTTGACCATGTTGGGCGTATATGGAGACTATGTTGGGCCTGTGTTGATCCATTGTTGGGGCCATCTTCGAGTCATGTTGACCTTATGTTAAAACCAGAGCGGCGTGTCCCTTTTAACGTTTTTAAGAATTCCAGACGACGACGAAGAAGAAGAAGATGACACATATGAGGAGCATCACCTCAGTAACAAAGTCCAAAATGAAACAAAGAAGACAGCTGCTGCCGAATCATCCGCATTCAATGCAAACTTGAAGCAGGGATCAGTTGGATGTAGCAGATGTAACAGATGTCAGATGAATCTCAAGTCAAGGACAGCTACAAAGACTCTGAGGAGAAGTGCTTCACATCCTGCTGTTCCAGTAGTGCCGCGCAAGGCGGTGGCGGAAGTTTCAAAGATAGGACACTATAGGAGAGGTGGGTTGTTGTAATGCATGGATGGCAGAGCGAATCCACTGATGGACCGAAAGGTGGTTAGAGTTGTGCTTTTTGAAATGGTTGCGGTGGTCACCTCAACCACAACTGCTGGATGTAGTGTGGTGTAGCGTAGCACAATGTAATTGCAGTTGCAGTGGCAATGGCAGTTGTAGTGGTATTGTAGCGTAGTTTTAGCTGCAAATGCTGTTCTTGTAGTTGTAGTTGTAATGTTGTAGCTGAAGCTGTAGTAATAGTTGTAGTTGTAGTTGTAGTTTTAGCTGTTGTCGTTAACGTTCTCGTTGTCGTTGCCGTCGTCGTCGTCGTGGTTGTTGTTGGTTGTTGTTGGTTGTTGTTGGTTGTTGTTGGTTGTTGTTGGTTGTTGTTGGTTGTTGTTGGTTGTTGTTGGTTGTTGGTTGTTGGTTGTTGGTTGCTGGTTGCTGCTGCTGCTGCTGCTGTTGGTGTTGTTGTTGTTGTTGTTGTTGTTGTTGTTGTTGTTGTTTTGGTTGTGGCTGGTTGTCGGTTGTCGGTTGTCGGTTGTTGGTTGTTGGTTGTTGGTTTTTGTTGTGGTTGTGGTTGTGGTTGCTGTTGCTGTTGCTGCTGTTGGGGTTGTTGTTGTTGTTGTTGTTGGCTGTTGGTTGTTGTTGTGGTTGTGGTGGTTGTGGTTGTGGTTGTGGTGGTGGTGGTTGTGGTGGTTGTTGTGGTTGTGGTTTTTGTTGTGGTTGTGGTTCTTGTTCTTATTTATGTTCTTGTCTTGTTCTTGGTCTTGTTGTTCTTGTTGTTCTTGTTGTTCTTGTTGTTCTTGTTGTTCTTGTTGTTCTTGTTGTTCTTGTTGTCTTGTTGTTCTTGTGGTTGTCCTTGTCCTTGTCCTTGTTGTTGTGGTTGTGGTTGTCGTTGTGGTTGTCGTTGTTATGTAGTGTGATGCGGTTGAACGTCCAAAAATGGTCCAACATGGGGTGCCTTTACCATTTTGACTTCCAGATGTGCTTCGGGCCACAACGGCGTGCACTTTTTCCACATCCGATCCTCCAAAAGTGGTCCAAACATGTTTTTTATTTTAAACATGTTGACTTGGAAATGTGCTTTGCGCCACAGCGGCGTGCACTTTTTCGACGTGTCAACTTCCAAAAATGGTCCGAGCATGGTGTGCTTTGTACATTTTGACTTCCAAATGTGCTTCGCCACAACGGCTTGCAACTTTTCATCTTTCATCTGGCCAGAGGGCCCCGCACCCGCCCCTATAGCGAGCCTACTTTTCGACCTTCCGGAACCACAAACCATTGAAAAAACAGTGTGAATTGCGACTTTCCTACCTTTTCGCGCACCTGCATTTTCTTTCTTCCCACTCTTTCTCTTCTCTGATCTTCTCTCTTCTGCTCTTCTCTTCTCTGATTCTTCCCACCTCTGCTTTTCCATGTGTCCATATTGTCGGAAATTTGACTTGTAAACTTCCTTCGATGAGATCCTTTCAATCTTTTTCATAGTTTCCACATATCATACAGTCGAAATATGTTGAAATGATTCTCGCCTGTTTCCATCTGAGCCCGAAGCAAGGAGTCGGACGAAACCGACGTCAGCTCGGAGGAAGATGAGGACGACATGGGTTTCCTTGGTGCCCGTTACGAAGTGGCTTCGTAACGGGCACCAAGGAAACCCATGTCGTCCTCATCTTCCTCCGAGCTGACGTCGGTTTCGTTTTGAGGGGATGAGGACGACATGGGCTTTGTCGTTTTTCATTGCACAGCGGCCGCGGCCAGACACATAGTCCCAGTCCGTGCTAGCGATGCTCTTATCAGTATATCCAATTCTATCTCACTTTATCCCTATCCCGATAGATTCAACACAGCTTGTTTTGAGGTCGGACAGATAATGCGCGGTGAAGCTGCAGGCTATGTAAGAATCTTTTGGATTTACAATACCGCTTACATAAATCGATCCAAAAATGTTTGAGGTGTGGACTTTTGCTCTAGCAAAGTGATGGTGCTGGAACGTGTGGAATGTGCTTGGCTGTTATATAGATTCTGTTTGGTCATGTCTGGTGTTATAACACCATATGTTGCAATTGTGGGCAGGTTCAAGCACTGATGGAGTCCTTGCCTTGATTGGCCGTGGGTTCTGAAGAGAGATTTGTTGAAACAGCTGAAACATGTTGAAACGCGGAAACAAGATGGGTTGAAACATGTTGAAACAATTTGCCGTGAGTGTTCCTTGTGCAGACTACATATACTACAAGTGAGAGTCGTGATTCTCGTGATTTGAGATGACACCTTTGCATGCAGGTGCTGTGCCCGCATGCGTCCGCAATGTTTGCTGGGTGCCTCTCTTGGTCCTCCACATCTTCTACATCTTCCGCTTAGACCATCTTACATCCACCGTACCCTACTTCACCCATTCTCCAAGGATGCTGTGGACCAGAACGTGTGCTGTGCAAACCTTTCGTGGCCGACACCAAGTCTTACAAAGTGAAGGGTTTCGTTCAGGAACACTTTGCACAACTTTGCACAACACATGTGCCGAAGAGTATGCTCCTGGCGCGTTGCAGAAGTCACTGCTGCGCAGCCTGTGTTTCTCCAGTTTCAAACAACGTACAGTTTCCATGGGCTGCTTTTGAGCCACTTTGGCAACTCGTATCACCTTCCTCCTTCTCCTGCATTAAAGATGCAGAAACTGGAGGCAGAACAAAAATGTAGAGGGCAGCTGATGGCTCAATGCGATTTCATGATCTTTCGTGCGAGTTCGTTATTCTTAGGCATCCGTGGATAAGCACTGGTGATTAGACAATTCAACGTTGGTTGCCCTGAAGCTTTCAAATCGCAACCGCGCCCAGTCTCGCAGAAAGGTTTTGAATAGGAAGAAGGGGTCCTTTGGAGTCTTGAGATGCTCTGATTGTTTTTTGAAATCTGGACGACCTCATTTGATTGGAAGCACGCCACCTGTCCGCTTGTCGCAGGCAAATTTTGGCCACTAATAGTAAATATACGTACGTACGTATATATATATATATAACATATGATATGACGTGATATGATATGATGGGATTTCTCAAGTTTTGTTTCCAAACACGAGCATGATCAGACATGTATTGCGCAGCTTTTCAAGCTCAAATGTAAAAACCGGATGCAGCTCAACACTATTACTTGCGTGCGCGCATCAAGAACATTTTGTCAACGGTCACTGGTGCAATTTTCCCGGAATTATGTCGTGCAACAAGGTTTTGTTGCCAGTCCATAGAAGAAATCCCCCCAAGCCCCAGCTGTTGCTACAAAAACCTATCTCCCTCAGCACTTTCCTTTTTGCTTCTTCAAGCCCTACTTGAGCACGCAGAAGCGCAGAAGAGCCTCAACTGCAAGGAGCCAGGCTGTGGAAAGGACTGACAAGCTTCCAGAATGCGTGCTGTCTAGATGTTCAAAGCATGCTAACAGACCTACTTGTAGGGTCCCTCTGAGTGGGCTCGACATGAGTTGGAATTGAAGTCACGCTCTAGATGTGTTGGCATCGATTGCTCTGGCAGTGACTCCGCCAAGTTGCCAATGGTAGCTAGTGGTGTGCTAGTGGTATGCTAGTGGTATGCTAGTGGTATGCTAGTGGTATGCTGAAGATGCACTGGTTTCATTCTCGCCTTTTGTATCTTTTGTAAGGACAGACCGACTTGCCACTCTGGCACCATGATACGGAGTGATCAGGCCGTGTTTGTTTTTTCACAGGTCTTTGCTTGTCATCTTGTCCTTGTTTGCTTTGGATCACTGGCGATTCACTGGCACTACATGGCACCAAAGCTCCAATGCCTGAAGCTGTTTGAAGCTTGAAACAAATAAGATCAGATAAGACTGTTGCCAAATCATCCAATGCAAAATTGAAACAGGGATCAGTTGGATGTAGGAGATGTCACAGATGCCGTATGAAATCAATTGAAATCATATGAATTTAAATATGTCCATGCCTATAGTTTTAGAGCCCAGTTGTCAAGGACGGCTCCGAAAACTCTGAGGAGGAGAAGTGCGTCACATCCTGCTGTTGAAACTTTTTCGATCTTTTTCATAGTGCAGTTCTAAGATGTCAAAATATGTTGAAATGATTCTCGTTTGTTTCCATCTGAGCGCAAAGCAAGAAGTCGGACGAAATCTATGTCAGCTCTGAGGATGAGGAGGACATGGGTTTCCTTGGTGCCCGTTACGAAGCAGCCAGACACATAGTCCCAGACCGTGCTAGCCATGCTCCACTGGCTCCCCTATCTGCCCTATCTATTTCGATCTGTCCCATTCTATTCCTATCTGATAGGCTGATAGAATCTGATAGACTCAATGCTGCTTGTTGTGAGGTCGATCGGATCATGCGCGAAGCTGCAGGCCGTGTCAGAATCTTCGGGATCATGTGCTCATCGTACTTGCTGGCACAAGACCGCTTACATTCGCTTACATAAATCGGTCCAAGAATGTCATAGAATGTCTAAAGTCGAGACTTTTGTTCTGGCAAAGTGATGGTGCTGGAACGTGTGGAATGTGCTCGGCTGTTACATAGATGCTATTTGGTCATGTCTGGTGTTATAACACCATATGTTGCAATTGTGGGCAGGTTCAAGCACTGATGGAGTCCTTGCCTTGATTGACTGTGGGTTCTGAAGAGAGATTTGTTGAAACAACTGAAACATGTTGAAACGCGGAAGCAAGATGGGTTGAACATGTTGAAACAATTTGCCGTGAGTGTTCCTTGTGCAGACTACACAGACTACAAGTGAGAGTCATGATTCTCGTGATCTCAGATGACACCTTTGCATGCTGATGTGTCCGCATTTGTCCGCATTGTTTGCTGGTTTAACTCTCTCTTTGTTTTCCACATCTTCCACTTAGACCATCTTACATCATCTTGCATCCGCTTTACCCTACTATACCCACTCTTCAGGGATGCTGTGCCCATCTCGTAGCTTGTCCGTGCCTGACTGTGCCTGACCTGAGGCTGGTGGGCGACTGGCAAGAGCCACGACGTGGCCAGCAGGTCAGGTCTTCAAAAGGTCAGCGTTGCGGAGGAGCTCCGAACCCTACCAGGAGAAATCTGTTTCCTTCGCGGAGGAGCTGGTGGAAACAGAAGAATTTGTTGCTTTTGATCGATCTCCCGGAAGCTCTGACGGAGAAGAGTAGGAAGGAGTTGGGCCCATCCAGGAGTCCAAGAACCCGAGGCTACCAGAGCTTCATGAGTCAGCTGAAATGGCCGAGACTGGCATAGATGTCAGCTGGGAAGATGGACCAAGTCCATTGAACCAAGAGGCTGCAACATCCGCAGCTAGTGGCGGTGGCCACGCCTTTTCTTCGGGTCTCCCTGGCAAGGCCATGCCAGCGATGGCCTCTAAAGAAAGTGATGCTCTTAGAGCACCTCCTCAAGCGCATCACTTTCTTGAGAGGCCATCGCGGGCATGGCCTTGCTCTTGAGGAGGTGCCACGCATCCGATGGGTCTGACTGACTGGCACAATGAAACGTAGAACAACCGAAAGTAAGGGGCCAGGGGATGATGTCAGTAGATTGTACCAGTTTGGAGTTTAGGCATATTTCTACAGCACATGACAAGAATGACTGCTTAACACATCACAACATGTCATAAGAAATCCATAGAAATCCGATCCTGACATGGTAGCCTCAAATAGCACAAAGTCATAACATCACCTTCTCTTCCGGGCTTTGCAGGCAGCTAATGCTGATGGAGTTGGTTCGTTGCAGGAGTCTTCCACGTTTTCCACGACAGCGGCAGAGTTGGGCGTGCAGAGCCACTGTGCAGAGGATGAAGATGTTCCACAGCCAGAGCACGAGCCAGCTGATGAAGCAAGCGCCCTAAATGTCCTGGAGGTCAAGGAGGGTGAAAAGGATGAGGAAACGGATGAGGAAAAGAATAAGAAAAAGGATGAAAAGGACGAGGATGAAGAACTCACGGCGTCATTGGTTGCTGGCGCCTTTGTAGCATCAGATGCAGAGCAGCCAGAGGGGGAACCACCGAGTTATGTGGAGTCGCAGGCGGATGGCGAGGATCCCTTTGAAGCCCTGGGCCATGTACCGCCTGAATCGGAATCCGATCTCGGAGAAGCTTCTGCAGAAATTGCAGGTTTCGCACCAGTGCTGGGAGCATCTGATATGGAGGCTGCCTGGCGAGCTGATTGTGCTGTGCATGGCGCGCCTGGTCCTCACAGTGACTCGGATATGCAAACTGATGACAGCCCTGCGGTCCAACCTCTGGAAGAGGCTGTGAAGAAGATAAGCAGCAAAGAACAGATGGCAGCAAAGATGGAGGAGAGGCGGAAGCTTGAAGGTCTGCTTCCACAAGAACCTCAGGAGGCCACTTGGCATGTAAATGCATGTGACATGTGTTTGTGAGTGCTTACCGCCCACGTCGTGAACGGATATCTATCTATCTATCTACCTATCTATCTAGCTAGCCAGCTAGCTATCTACCTACCTACCTACCTACCTACCTATCTATCTGTCTCTCTGTCTATCTATCTCTCTGTCTGTCTGTCTGTCTGTCTATCTATCTCTATCCATCCATTCATCCATCCATCCATCCATCCATCCATCCATCTGTCTATTTAGCTAGCTAGCTAGCTATCTATCTGTCTATCTATCTATATATCTATCTTTCTATCTTTTTTATTTTATGCATATATAACATACTTTTTTTGAATGTTGGTAGCTGGCAGATCCAAGCAGGTAGCGGCATATCAGCGGCATGAGTTGAATTTGAACGGAGAGCACCAACTCTAGCCGCACCAGCTGCAGCAATGGATTACTGTCACCGACTGTCACCGACTGTCACCACTCAAGCAAAATGCATATTGGAGGCGATGCTTTTTTGCCTGTGCTCATTGCAGGCAGAACCGCTGGTTCAGCAGTTCTTTGAGAAGCCGGGGGAGAAGCTGGTTCTGCGGTTCCTCCCCCGGCTTCTCAAAGAAGTGCTGAACCAGCGGTTTGATGACAGCCCTGCGGTCCAACCTCTGGAAGAGGCTGTGAAGAAGATAAGCAGCAAAGAACAGATGGCAGCAAAGATGGAGGAGAGGCGGAAGCTTGAAGGTCTGCTTCCACAAGAACCTCAGGAGGCTACTTGGCATGTAAATGCATGTGACATGTGTTTGTGAGTGCTTCCCGCCCACGTCGTGAACGGTTTTTGTTGTGGTTTTTGTTGTGGTTGTGGTTTTTGTTCTTATTTTTGTTCTTGTTCTTTTTCTTGGTCTTGTTGTTCTTGTTGTTCTTGTTGTTCTTGTTGTTCTTGTTGTTCTTGTTGTTCTTGTGGTTGTCCTTGTCCTTGTCCTTGTTGTTGTGGTTGTGGTTGTCGTTGTGGTTGTCGTTGTCGAACGTCCAAAAATGGTCCAACATGGGGTGCCTTTACCATTTTGACTTCCAGATGTGCTTCGGGCCACAACGGCGTGCACTTTTTCCACATCCGATCCTCCAAAAGTGGTCCAAACATGTTTTTTTATTTTAAACATGTTGACTTGGAAATGTGCTTTGCGCCACAGCGGCGTGCACTTTTTCGACGTGTCAACTTCCAAAAATGGTCCGAGCATGGTGTGCTTTGTGCTTCGCCACAACGGCTTGCAACTTTTCATCTTTCATTTGGCCAGAGGGCCCCGCACCCGCCCCTATAGCGAGCCTACTTTTCGACCTTCCGGAACCACAAACCATTGAAAAAACAGTGTGAATTGCGACTTTCCTACCTTTTCGCGCACCTGCATTTTCTTTCTTCCCACTCTTTCTCTTCTCTGATCTTCTCTCTTCTGCTCTTCTCTTCTCTGATTCTTCCACCTCTGCTTTTCCATGTGTCCATATTGTCGGAAATTTGACTTGTAAACTTCCTTCGATGAGATCCTTTCAATCTTTTTCATAGTTTCCACATATCATACAGTCGAAATATGTTGAAATGATTCTCGCCTGTTTCCATCTGAGCCCGAAGCAAGGAGTCGGACGAAACCGACGTCAGCTCGGAGGAAGATGAGGACGACATGGGTTTCGTTTTGAGGGGATGAGGACGACATGGGCTTTGTCGTTTTTCATTGCACAGCGGCCGCGGCCAGACACATAGTCCCAGTCCGTGCTAGCGATGCTCTTATCAGTATATCCAATTCTATCTCACTTTATCCCTATCCCGATAGATTCAACACAGCTTGTTTTGAGGTCGGACAGATAATGCGCGGTGAAGCTGCAGGCTATGTAAGAATCTTTTGGATTTACAATACCGCTTACATAAATCGATCCAAAAATGTTTGAGGTGTGGACTTTTGCTCTAGCAAAGTGATGGTGCTGGAACGTGTGGAATGTGCTTGGCTGTTATATAGATGCTATTTGGTCATGTCTGGTGTTATAACTTGCAATTGTGGGCAGGTTCAAGCACTGATGGAGTCCTTGCCTTGATTGGCTGTGGGTTCTGAAGAGAGATTTGTTGAAACAGCTGAAACATGTTGAAACGCGGAAACAAGATGGGTTGAAACATGTTGAAACAATTTGCCGTGAGTGTTCCTTGTGCAGACTACATATACTACAAGTGAGAGTCGTGATTCTCGTGATTTGAGATGACACCTTTGCATGCAGGTGCTGTGCCCGCATGCGTCCGCAATGTTTGCTGGGTGCCTCTCTTGGTCCTCCACATCTTCTACATCTTCCGCTTAGACCATTTTACATCCACCGTACCCTACTTCACCCATTCTCCAAGGATGCTGTGGACCAGAACGTGTGCTGTGCAAACCTTTCGTGGCCGACACCAAGTCTTACAAAGTGAAGGGTTTCGTTCAGGAACACTTTGCACAACTTTGCACAACACATGTGCCGAAGAGTATGCTCCTGGCGCGTTGCAGAAGTCACTGCTGCGCAGCCTGTGTTTCTCCAGTTTCAAACAACGTACAGTTTCCATGGGCTGCTTTTGAGCTACTTTGGCAACTCGTATCACCTTCCTCCTTCTCCTGCATTAAAGATGCAGAAACTGGAGGCAGAACAAAAATGTAGAGGGCAGCTGATGGCTCAATGCGATTTCATGATCTTTCATGCGAGTTCGTTATTCTTAGGCATCCGTGGATAAGCACTGGTGATTAGACAATTCAACGTTGGTTGCCCTGAAGCTTTCAAATCGCAACCGCGCCCAGTCTCGCAGAAAGGTTTTGAATAGGAAGAAGGGGTCCTTTGGAGTCTTGAGATGCTCTGATTGTTTTTTGAAATCTGGACGACCTCATTTGATTGGAAGCACGCCACCTGTCCGCTTGTCGCAGGCAAATTTTGGCCACTAATAGTAAATATACGTACGTACGTATATATATATATATTAACATATGATATGACGTGATATGATATGATGGGATTTCTCAAGTTTTGTTTCCAAACACGAGCATGATCAGACATGTATTGCGCAGCTTTTCAAGCTCAAATGTAAAAACCGGATGCAGCTCAACACTATTACTTGCGTGCGCGCATCAAGAACATTTTGTCAACGGTCACTGGTGCAATTTTCCCGGAATTATGTCGTGCAACAAGGTTTTGTTGCCAGTCCATAGAAGAAATCCCCCCAAGCCCCAGCTGTTGCTACAAAAACCTATCTCCCTCAGCACTTTCCTTTTTGCTTCTTCAAGCCCTACTTGAGCACGCAGAAGCGCAGAAGAGCCTCAACTGCAAGGAGCCAGGCTGTGGAAAGGACTGACAAGCTTCCAGAATGCGTGCTGTCTAGATGTTTGCTAACAACCTACTTGTGGGTCCCTCTGAGTGGGCACATGAGTTGGAATTGTCAGCTCTAGATTGTTGGCATGCTAAGCAGCTCTGCTGACTCCGCCAAGTTGCATGCTAATGGTAGCTCTGAGTGGGCTCGACATGAGTTGGAATTGAAGTCACGCTCTAGATGTGTTGGCATCGATTGCTCTGGCAGTGACTCCGCCAAGTTGCCAATGGTAGCTAGTGGTGTGCTAGTGGTATGCTAGTGGTATGCTGGTGGTATGCTGAAGATGCACTGGTTTCATTCTCGCTTTTTGTATCTTTTGTAAGGACAGACCGACTTGCCACTCTGGCACCATGATACGGAGTGATCAGGCCGTGTTTGTTTTTTCACGGGTCTTTGCTTGTCATCTTGTCCTTGTTTGCTTTGGATCACTGGCGATTCACTGGCACTACATGGCACCAAAGCTCCAATGCCTGAAGCTGTTTGAAGCTTGAAACAAATAAGATCAGATAAGACTGTTGCCAAATCATCCAATGCAAAATTGAAACAGGGATCAGTTGGATGTAGGAGATGTCACAGATGCCATATGAAATCAATTGAAATCATATGAATTTAAATATGTCCATGCCTATAGTTTTAGAGCCCAGTTGTCAAGGACGGCTCCGAAAACTCTGAGGAGGAGAAGTGCGTCACATCCTGCTGTTGAAACTCTTTCGATCTTTTTCATAGTTTCCAGACAGATCATACAGTTCTAAGATGTCCAAATATGTTGAAATGATTCTCGTTTGTTTCCACCTGAACCCGAAGCAAGGAGGCGGACGAAACCGATGTCAGCTCCGAGGATGAGGAGGACATGGGTTTCCTTGGTGCGCGTTACGAAGCAGCCAGACACATAGTCCCAGACCGTGCTAGCCATGCTCCACTGGCTCCCCTATCTATTTCGATCTGTCCCATTTTATTCCTATCTGATAGGCTGATAGAATCTGATAGACTCAATGCTGCTTGTTGTGAGGTCGATCGGATCATGCGCGAAGCTGCAGGCCGTGTCAGAATCTTCGGGATCATGTGCTCATCGTACTTGCTGGCACAAGACCGCTTACATTCGCTTACATAAATCGGTCCAAGAATGTCATAGAATGTCTAAAGTCGAGACTTTTGTTCTGGCAAAGTGATGGTGCTGGAACGTGTGGAATGTGCTCGGCTGTTACATGCTATTTGGTCATGTCAGGTGTTACAACACCATATGTTGATATATGTTGCAACTGTGGGCAGGTTCAAGCACCGATCGAGTCCTTGCCTTGATTGACTGTGGGTTCTGAGGAGAGATTTGTTGAAACAGCTGAAACATGTTGAAACGCGGAAGCAAGATGGGTTGAACATGTTGAAACAATTCGCCGTGAGTGTTCCTTGTGCAGACTACGTAGACTACAAGTGAGAGTCGTGATTCTCGCGATCTGAGATGACACCTTTGCATGCGGGTGATATGTCCGCATTTGTCCGCATTTTTTTGCTGGTTTAACTCTCTCTCTTCGTTTTCCACATCTTCCACTTAGACCATCTTACAATATCTTACATCATCTTGCATCCGCTTTACCCTACTATACCCACTCTTCAGGGATGCTGTGCCCATCTCGTAGCTTGTCCGTGCCTGACTGTGCCTGACCTGAGGCTGGTGGGCGACTGGCAAGAGCCACGACGTGGCCAGCAGGTCAGGTCTTTAAAAGGTCAGCGTTGCGGAGGAGCTCCGAACCCTACTTGTACCAGGAGAAATCTGTTTCCTTCGCGGAGGAGCTGGTGGAAACAGAAGAATTTGTTGCTTTTGATCGATCTCCCGGAAGCTCTGACGGAGAAGAGTATGAAGGAGTTGGGCCCATCCAGGAGTCCAAGAACCAGAGGCTACCAGAGCTTCATGAGTCAGCTGAAATGGCCGAGACTGGCATAGATGTCAGCTGGGAAGATGGACCAAGTCCATTGAACCAAGAGGCTGCAACATCCGCAGCTAGTGGCGGTGGCCATGCCTTCTCTTCGGGTCTCCCTGGCAAGGCCATGCGATGGTGTCAGTAGATTGTATGGAGTTTAGGCATATTTCTACTGCACATGACAAGAATGACTGCTTAACACATCACAACATGTCATAAGAAATCCATAGAAATCCGATCCTGACATGGTAGCCTCAAATAGCACAAAGTCATAACATCACCTTCTCTTCCGGGCTTTGCAGGCAGCTAATGCTGATGGAGTTGGTTCGTTGCAGGAGTCTTCCACGTTTTCCACGACAGCGGCAGAGTTGGGCGTGCAGAGCCACTGTGCAGAGGATGAAGATGTTCCACAGCCAGAGCACGAGCCAGCTGATGAAGCAAGCGCCCAAAATGTCCTGGAGGTAAAGGAGGGTGAAAAGGATGA